GCCCCGCCCCCCTCTCTCTTGACGCCAGCTGGATCGGCCCCCTGATTATACTAACTATAAAGTATTGTTGCTGCCTTTAATTTGATTTCTGTTTCAAGAAGCAAAAAAGTGTGACAACAATCACACATTCCTCACTTTATTTCTTTGTTTTTAATCCATGGTTTGAATTGTACATGTTACTCCTTTATCTTGCCCTTCATATGGAACGATATGTATTTTTTCACATTGATTATAGACATGAATACTAAAATACAACAATTAATGATGGCAACATATATATAGTACCCCTTTATACAGGGAGACAAAATAAATGATCACTATCATAGCAATGATTAGTACTACCGATCCACAGGCACATAGCCATGGGGGGCACGTGCCCCCCCCCCAAAAAAAATTTTTTTTTTTTTTTCCAAGATCGGTTGAATTTTTTTTAGGCCCCTCCCAGGACGTCGATCAATTACATGTAAGTGCCCCCCCCCCCCACATTCATCAAACTCTGGCTACGGCCCTGCAAATCCAAACAAAAGCTGACTTCAAATTACGAATGTCTTTGTTAAAAGCTATTCTTAGAAATGATTACAATGCAATACCCTTGTTCATTGTTGTCATAAATATGTACCATATTTGTCTTCTGTAGTCTAACTCTACTTTGGTAAAAGCTTAAAAGAAAATTTTGTAGGCATAGAATGATGAAATTCAGTACTGGATAATATATGGCAATTAATTCATCATTGAAAAATCTCACTGGCTCTTTCCCAGATTCATTTATAGCAACTGAAAATACATTTCATACATCACCATGATAAATGAGATTACCTTAACCAAAATCTTTCCCAGTCATGAAACTATTTAAAAGTTCTAAAAAAAAAGCCCCAATTAATTTTTGAAATATCTTTTGCTTTTAAAAAATATTGCACCTTATAAATTTCTAAGAAATATTGAAGTTACACAATGTACAAAAGCATTTTCTATTACAATATTGTTATAGACTCTTATTTCTTCTTCAGCTTTTACTTTTCTATCATACATTAAATTTGTAAACCAATACCTCAATAAGCTGTACATTTATAGTGTAAACCTTTTTTTTAATTGCCCCCTTCACAATATTAGCATTCTGCCTGTACCTGTTATCGTACGTTTGTGAGAAAATAATTATTATCAATTTAAATGGCTAAGTATATTTTTCTTCATAATTTCTTTTTCTACATATGGCACTATTTAATGTTATTTTCACATATCACTCACGTAAATTATCCTTTGGAATGAATAATTATGTTACCTGTTGTTTTCTTATCATTTAGATAATTTAAATTGTGCATAATTCAACATTATGTCAAGACAAATGATTTTTTTTTAAATATCAATTGGAATTGATTAGACCTTAGTCTATTGGAACCTAAAAATTAAGCTCAGATATTGGGGTTGAATAATTTAATACCTGATATTTAAACCTGGCATGATCTACATCCACACAGTATCAAAGCAGCCTATAACTGTCCTTTTATCTCTAATGCCTAGCGCACACAAATGATCCTCCAGCCATACAATTTTCAAAGAAATGGCAATTAGATATGGAAATATAAACAAATGTAATTCTCCAGATCTAGGTTCTGGATTGATGATGACAATACTAACCAGAATTGTAGTGCATTTAAGCCTTCTTGTCATAATCAAAGCCAAATCGGTTTAAAATCATAGACAATCACACAATTGGTCTGACGTCACTACAATTCTGGGCCGATCTAGCTTTTCCTTCTACAATAAAACATTAAATCTCTTGAAATTTAGATTTTATTAATTGTATGACTATTTAGATCCTTGGTCAATAATATTTTACATGTTTGAATGTTATAATAAAACGCTATCCCAATTCCTCCAAAATGGGATCATAGTAAAATCGTGTAATGTGACAGGCTTAATATTGCCAAACTAAAACTGCTCAACTAAGCTCGGAGGTGAAGCGTGCGTCTCTATTCATATCCTATGAAAGTACATTCAGTTGCTCCGTATTTAAGATACGTGCGAACACAGATTCCTGTATGATTTCAAAGGATTGCCCTATCAAAATATCTCAAGAATCTAAATTTTGTCAAGCTAGTGTCAGCTTCATGCTAAATTATATGAAACTGAATAACTGTCATTTTTCTTACAAGCAGTGCGTCATCTAAATCAGAAAAAAAGTACCAAACAAAATATGTACATATCAAATACTTCAACTTAAAAAAGGTGACAAAATCATCAATCACAAGGAATAATAAAATATTTACAAAATAAAACATAAAATTGTATTCCTTATTATGAAAGCTTTATATTGTAAAACACTTAAATTCAATTTGAACTGCTGCTGTTTTGACTATTCATAAACACATACATACTTACCAATTTTAGCTTGTTAAAAACCGATCACTTTCATATCACAACTTCTATATTTGCATCTTTCCCACTTGATAAATTTGTCCTAAAACTGGCAAGTACTAATATATAAAGATTTGGAGCAGCAATGAGCATGATATTATCAACACTAATAGGTAATGCACAATGTTGGCAAAAGTTACTAGTAAAAAGATACAATGATACATTTCTTTAATTAAATGTTCTAACTTTTAATGTATCAACTGTAATGCCAGAAAGTTATGAAATTTCCACTCTTAGTTCATGACTGCCATTTTTATGGCAAATGTTTACAAAATTCCACAATTTGGTGCTGTGATATAAGTGTATGGTTATTTTGCAGCACAAAATGTTGATGAACCTAAAATTTTCTTGCATGCATTTATGCTTCTGGTCTTACAGTAAGAGAGTAGAACATAATGATACAGATTTGCTTTGGAATGCCAGCATTTATGGGAAATAATTTTACAGTTGAAACTGTCTAAATAGTGGCAACCTCTCTATAAAGGTCACCTGTCTACAGTGACCACTATCTTCATTTTCCATGGGTGACCTAGCCTAGACAGACAGGTTTAACCCTATTTTTCATCGATTTGACACACATGAATTATTTGTCCTAGTGCTATCACTTGTTCGTTTGCCCTAAAAAACACCAAGCATAAAATATATCTTCTAATGAATCGTGGTGGTGGTTATTTTTACCTAACTGCTAAGAAAGCATAAATGCTTGTAAGTAAGCAACCAGACGGCCGAGGGCTTTAGGTCCTCTCAGAGGTACCTGCTAATGAGGATTAATGCCTTACCAAAGGGCACTGGCGCATCGTCTTGGTTTCGAACCCGGGTCACCGGATTACGAGACCACTGCTCTACTGACCGAGCTATCGCGCCTCCCCTTCTAATCTAGGCTAACGTCTCACATGTCATGTTCTTTCCATTAACATATATCTCAAACTAAGAGTAATATGGAGATCTCACAGAATGCTCCATCTAATCACATAACATTAGTACAAATAAACCCTGACTTTTCCTGCTTATTGTAGGTTTAAAGGATAATTGAAAAGAGAAAGAATCGATCTGGTCTTCAAACCGAGGTAGCAAGAAAATCTATGGCTTTCACAAATAATGTGAATGTAAATATTCGCTTCATATCCATTCAATTAAAGCTTATAATCATTTAAAAAATATCACACAACTTCACTGCATGAGAAGTTCATCAAAATTTGTACAATGCATTGGCAAGGACATCTAAATAACTTTTTTAAACCATGATGTTAACATACATGAATATCAACAGATGGGTCATTTTACACAAACGTAGACACCCATAAAGGCATTATTTACACTGTACAAAGCATTTCCATCTTGGCACCTGACCAATAGTTCATTGAAATGGGTTGAGGGGTGTTTCCTCTGTGACATCCAAACTAATATCAGCAGTGGGACTACTGCAGACTGATACATCTGCTGGTTTGTTTGACTGAGTAATATCTGACATTGAATGATGACTAGGAGTCTTCTCTAGCCCCATCCCATCATCATCGCTGTCCATGGACTGCTGGATATCAGCAGTGGGACTACTGCAGACTGATACATCTGCTGGTTTGTTTGACTGAGTAATATCTGACATTGAATGATGACTAGGAGTCTTCTCTAGCCCCATCCCATCATCATCGCTGTCCTTGGACTGCTGGATGGGCATAGAGCGACAGTTGGTCACCTTGTCCCCTCGCTGGATGGGAGCCTGGAGCTCGTTCCTCACTACCTGTGAACTGTTTGTTTCAAAGAAAGGTGTTCCGGTGATCGGAGCGGTCTGAGGCATTCTTGTCCTGTTGTTCAGCTCTGAATCAATTGCCTCAGTGCTCTTTGCTTTCTTCATCCCCTTTAACTGCATGCTCTTATCCAGCTGTAAGTCTTTATCAGTGCTTCCCCTTTGTTCCAAGTTGATATTCACTGTTGCATTGTTGCCGTTGATGTTTTGAGAGTACGCGGGTGAATCTCGAGAGGCTAATCCTGAGTACATTGGAAGTTTGTTTGGGAGACATGGCTCAAAGGCACTGCTCCAGACCTGTGAGTTCACTTCCTCATCCTGTTGCAAATCTTCTTTCTCTCTCCTACCACAAGCCTCAAGGATTGACTTCCAGCAAGGAAGGCACACACATGGCTTCTCCTTACCATCCTTGGTGTAGCGGAATGGCTGGGTCGCAACGTAGCTCATGAGGGCACACATGAAGAACTCCAAAAGACGGAACGTGAATTGGTATCCCCACCAGGGCCACGGGTCAGGGATCTGCTTCTGCCCACCGACAGGTCCATACACCACCAGCATGCCATATACCTGCAGGAGCGCAATCAGGAGACCCAGAAGAGCTGTCACCAGAGTTATTCTTATTGCACTACCCCAGTTGTTTCTAGGTTTGATCGCACGACGTTCTCCAGGCAGAACAATGGATGACGTCCTCATGCTGAGCCGGCTTATCTCCCTGAACTTCCTTTGCGACGACTTGTAGAGGCGGCGGAATATGACCAGGTAACTGACTGTAAGAAAAACACCCCATATGACAAATGCCACTTGGCAAGCCAGGAGCAACGCTGCTGCAGAGGCATAGAGTCCTACCACAACATCAGCTATGAAGGCAAAGGCAAAATGAAAGATGATAACCCCCGCCAGGAACTTCGGCTTCTGTATCGTTGGTGGTACTAGGCGGGTTTTCGTCGATTGCAGCAAGGCCATAAAGAGAATACTAAATGCCGAGGTCAGGCAGGGGAACCCTGTACCTAGGAACAGGTACGCTACCACGTTGGGCCAGATACCCTTGTAATTGTAGGCATCCACAAGCAGATAGACAGCCCTGATGACACCCATGAGGAGCATCAGCAGGTTCAGGGCGATGAAGTAGCCATAGCTGAGCAGGCGTCGCTGTCGTAATTTGATGATGCTTCCTAATGAGTAGATAGCGAGAAGAGCAAAGAGGACGCCAAGCAGATAGATGTGAAACGGCCACGCCCATTTGTACTTGGGTAGAGCATCATTCCATGCTGGTACTGGTTCTGCAAAGGGTGAATCATCGGGTTGTCCGGTTGGTTCGCCCTCAGGCTCTGGTTCAGGCTCAGCTCCTCCCTGCATTAAAACAATAAGAAATAGAACAAACAAATCAATAAATGAGAGGCAGATCCATGATTTGTAAATGAGGAGGCATTTATATATTCCTAAAATTGTTGTGTAAGTTAAAGCCATAATGAACTTATGAAATTTCTGGCCTAGCGTCGTTTTCACAGGGACTCATGGTCAACATGCTAAAAGTGCGTAACTCAATATCTCATTCCTACTTTGCACACAGAGGACTCGATGGAAGAACCAACAGCACAGCTATTAAAGCAGCAAGTTACGGGACCACCCTGCATTACTGCGAGAGCTGACCCAAGATGGCGCTAGATGGGATTTTGCACTAGTGTTTCTAGTACAGTATGTTTTTAAGGCTGGGTAGGATGTTGCACCCCCCCCCCCCCCTTCACCCGTCTGCCAGTCAAATCATATCGTTTACAATCCTTTTCATTCCTGTTTAAAATACCAATAAAAAGAAAGCCTGATCTGTTTCCAATCATTTGCAATGTTCTTGTAACAATATTACTGTCATTGTAATACTTGAGATAGAAAGCAGGAAGCTATTGATTGACAATACAAATATTAAACAGGGTAATAATGAAGATAAAAGTTTTAAACGGACCAATCTCAAGGCACAGTACCAACAAGCTTTGACAGGAAGAATAACTTGTACAATATCTCATCAATACATCAATATTACCTATTCTTTACTTAATCAAATGAGTTGTTAGTTTTGTCATGACTCAAGTTGTTATTTTTAGATTTAGATTTGATAATATTTCAAATTTATAACCTCAGATTTTGTTTTGTCAATGTTGATTCATTTTCATAAATTTTGACTAAAAACTCTAGAATGATTAATTTAGATAAAGCTTTTTTATGTTTGTTATTTAATTTTCTCTTTTCCCTTTGACAAGTGGTATCAGTTATGATCATTGAAGGTCAATTTTCCTGTAATCCTTATAAATAAATTTGGAAAAATTTGGAGTACAAATATGTGTCTTATCTATTAACAATTACCAATCTATATATGAAATAATTTCCTGCACTGGTTCAAATAAATGGCAATCAAGAAATAAAAGGCCTATGTCAGATCATGTCTTAGTATGAGCCTTCTTTCATCATATTTAGCAATACATTAGTAATACATGTATAATATCAAATTGACTGAAAAATAGGTTAATGAATATATAGAAAGATAGAAGGGAATATGGGGGTAATCATTGGTACATGTATGTGTTGTTGAATATTGCTAAGTACATGTTCTATGCTGATTTATCCTGATTAAGGATTGATCAAAACAAAAATCTTTGGGGGGGGGGCAGGGGTATGGCCAGAAGAGTAAGTTTTTACAAGCAGTTCACTTGTTCCTGATTCTTGAAAAGAAAAGTGATTTTAATCATTGAACACTACTGTGCAATGTGCATCCTGATTACAAATATTACAGGACAAACAAAACATATGGACTAAACAATTACAAAAGGTATGAATTTAAAAGAAATAGTAATCAGCTCCCTAGCAACAAATTTCGAAAAATATGTATACAAGTAATGAATTAACAAGATTTAACTTTACTGAGGGAGAAAATGGGATATCAATATCAAAGTGTAGCCTTACCGACAGTGGGCAAATGTAATCAATAAGTTTTCTTCAAGGATATTTCTCTTTAAAATAATAATTGTAATTGTATATTTTATAGTACCAGGAGATGGTACAGCAAACTTTTCTTAGTGGTCTTTATGATAAAGTACCGGTAGATAACATTTATCTTTTCCAATTCCAACACTTGCATTTAAAATACCAGTTGATTTTTAAGAACATTTAAAGCAGGAAGTGACTAAAATACTTCTTTTCATGAACTAGAAAAGAGATGACCTGTTACATTTGTATGTATTTCAATTTCTATTTGGTTGACTGATTTTCATAAAAGCAAATAATAATACCCTGGATTTTGATAGTTGATGTATTCAAGAAGTTGAATGGAGATATTCATAGAGACATATTTGCCTAAAGGATAAAGATATGTATTCACTTATGCCATAAAAAAGACTTCCGCTGCTTTTCCACTTGATTTTCTTATATCTCTGGTACAGTATATCCTGAAAAGCAGTAATAATACTGTGAGAATCAGAGATGTGTGCTTTTCAAAACTGGATCTGATGGTATACCGGTACATGTAAATGTAGTACTCCTCAAATTATTCTAAGTTGAATACAAATTAAATGTTTGTACACAATATTTGTTCTTATGGGGGGGGGGGGGTTTATAGTTTAGTTTGTAATCTCAAGCTTAGTCAAAGATATTACCCAGTCTTGGCATATCTTGCAATAATTCTCCATCCCTAACTTTTAGATAAGAGGAAGTACGTCACTAACTTTCTATTTAAAAAATCTCTTTCAGCAAATCTGCAATCTTAACCAAGCACGAAATGGAACTTTGGCCAAAGTGTTAATAAAATTGGATGTTCCAAGACAGAATCACTGTTCTTGAGTTAAATTATACCTGTCATATGGATGGATGTATTTCAATGTTGACACAGAAGTTTAAATATTGGTCACCTCAACAAAGCACGAGCCCAGCTACCAAGCGATTGCGCAATAATTCTTCACTTCTGGCCAAGGCTCGCCCAGCAAGTGAATTTCTCTGGCAGTATGAATGGTATACGCGGGTAAGCATCGGTTTCACCTTTGTTTACATAAGGCAAATTCTATAGATACTTTTCATCTGTGTTTTTATAATCTATAGAGTCATTTTGAAAAGGGAATAATTTGGACTTTAAGCCTACATGTAACTTCAGATACAACATCACCAACAATACCCTCTTTTCATTTCAGGCATGTCCATATTTGCCAATACATTTTCTATGTACTTTAGATGCTACCTTTTATGGGCAACTCCAAAGCTACATGTAAGAATAGGTGGTGTATTCAATTTTTTTCAAAATTACAAGTCATGCAATTTCAGATACATCACCTGATGAATGGTAACTGTATAATAAGCATAAATGAAACTTGTATTTACTTTAATATAGATTGTACTCCTCAAAGAACTCCCACTACAATAGCAACAAAAACTACAGATTTAATATAGCAATATACCAAGAAACACATTACAATTCTTAGTTAGGAACAAACCCTGGGGGGTGTTTCATGAAACAATTAGTCAGTGGTTTTCACTGACTAATATCATTTTCACCGACAATTCTATTGTCACCAACTATTTTCCAGACCTCTGATTGGTCAAATTTAGTCAGCTTTTAAGCAACAGTAACAGTAAATTTACATACCAAACAAGAAAAGAGAATTTGAAATAACACCAAATGGAACAAAAATTAATGGAATAAGAAGGGAGGAGAGAATAATTGAAGGATGGAAATGAAAAATAATACTTTAGTAGATGAATGAAATAAAGAAAAGATATAAATGATGGAAGGAGGAAATTGGTTCAATGCAGAATACACCCATCATTACAATACATTAGGGTTACCCTTACAGTAAAGGTCAAGGTTAGGGTCAGATTCAGGGTTTAAGTTAAAGTTGAAGTTAGAATTAGGATTAGAGTTTGGGTCAGGGTTATTTTTCCGGTCACTTGTGTGATGGGGTATTCTGCGGCGGCATCAGAAGATTCAGAGAGGAGAAATTTACCTCAGGTTCTGGTTCAACTTCTGGATGAGGAGAGGGTTCGCTGGTACCTTCAGGGGTAGGCTCAGGTTCGCTGGTACCTTCAGGGGTAGGCTCAGGTTCGCTGGTTGCCGTTGCCTCTGCAGTGGGCTCGGGACTAGAGACTTGGGCCAAACTCAGCCCACACCAAATGATCAGGAGCAGGAGGGTCGCTTGGAAAACACACCTTCGTGCCATCTTGCCTCTAGAGAAATGCTCCGGTTTACGAGTGTTGTTACAGAAGATGAATCACAACATTGTGATTGGCTGGAATATGTGGGTTACGTCATGCCAATCTGTATGGCAGAAAGAGAAAGATAGAATGCAATATTACAGACTGGTGGTTATGAACTTATTGTACAGTAAGAGATGAACAGTGATTTCAGTTATTCAATCTGATTAATTGTATTAAAATTGTACAAAAAGTTAAAACTAATAGGGGAAAAAAAGAGAGGATGTATGAGTGTCAACGCAAGTCAGTTAAAGACTAATTCAAAATATGAATTATAAATCCAGATTCTTGTATATCTGCTATGCAGAGTACCAAAAATGATGGAAAATGAAAACAAGTGTTTAATATTCATTGATGATTCCTGTAGAAATCAATATTGGCATTATGATAATTAGGTCACATTGCATTTACTGTATCAACACATCTGTTATAGTATGCATTTATATACTTGATACTTGATGAAGTAATCCATAAAGCAGCTTTTCCAAGCTATATTTGTATAGTAGATGTACACCATTTATGCCTATTGAGATGAATTATAAAAGTGCATCTTACAAAATAAACAGTAAACCATAATTATAACTACATGTTATGTACATGTATATACAGTTAATTCTGCATGACTTGGAGTCACACAAGTCAAATAAATTGTTTGGACCAAACTACATGTCTGCAAAACATGTGGTATTTCTGTACAATTTCTCATTCAATGGACTCATTCAAATTTTAGATACATCAAAAGTCAAACCATTTTTTGTAGTCAGATTTGACTTACATGAATGCCGAGTTATTAATCTTTAATTTTTTATGACTCATATTTTGACAAGAAAGAGAAACTATATATTTGTCATTACCGGTAAGTATCCTACTCAAGTATAAATAGCTCTGCGCCTCTGCTATTATAAAACATCTTTATGCAACTGAAATTATCCAGTAATGTAATGAGGTCATCTATATGTGGCTAATTATTCTGAGTTTGATTAAGTACAACTGCATTCTTCACAGGCAAATGATAGATAAGATTTTAATCAAGGCACAGGATTATTTTAACCATCTCAATACACCAGCCCTCTTAAACAATCCAGGTTTTATACTCCAGTGCTCTGCGGATATGTAATGAGTTGATTATTCAAGGTGGAATGAACATCAATATGTGACAGACAAATGCGACATCTAATAAAACTGCATCTATCAGGATGACAATAGAATGAGTCAGTGTTAATTGACGTTTTGTTTCATGTTCATATGTATGTGGGCGTGGCATTGCTCTTGCCATTTACAGCGTACAGTATGTCCATCTAATTTTTCACAAGCTAGAGCCATATCCAATATACATTTGTTCCTGCTCCTCAGTCAAATCATTCAAGAGAAATTGAATCTCAAGACTTACTTTTTTTCTTTGTTTATGTAAAGGCATTATATAAAATCAATATGTACAATGTACAATGTACATGTATGTATGCAAATGTTTTACCTGCACAATACAAACAGGGAAATGTATATATATATGCATGGAGCTCTCTTATATCTCCATGGTATATGTACATGTATGTACATGAATAATCAGAGTAAAACATACAAATACATGGATGACATGACAGAATAACTCCTTGTTAAAATTCGTTCTTATTAAGCCACGCTTCTCTGTGTGTACATGTAGCATCAAAAGTCACAGCATTCCACCAACTTTGGCAATTTGTTGGTAAATTTGATTTTGGTACACCTGTACATGTAGGTCAGTGGGACCCTATTGTACAAAAGGACCATTGTAACTAGGTCAAGATCAGAATGGTTTTATGGGTTACAATTGGAAAATAATACTTGTCCAATTTCAAGGGCCAGTGATGTCATTGTAAGTAATATGAACGTATACAAATGTACACAACTGTACACGGTTGCCCATAAAGTTTGATTAAATTGTTTTAAACCTCTGTTCATGAAATGACTATGACAAATTGACAATATAATTTATTCTTGATGGATCGGAACTTTATTGACCATAAGATTTATCAATAAAATTCTGAGAAGAATTAAACTCTATGTGTGAATTATAAATCATGTTGTGACAGTCATTTTATGAAAAGAGGTAAGATCATTTTATTACAACAGTGTAGGTTAGTTTGGAGAGTACTACTGAACTCAGGTCACTCACATTAAAAAACATTGGGGTGTACTAATGCTGAGATTCTGCAAATGCTCTTGTTTATTTTCAAACTAAAAATCAATGATGGAGTTTCATAAAAAATTTCGACTACATGTATAGTCCAAACATGCTATAACTAGCTATATCTACAATGTAATTTCACTTTGTATATTTTTATGGTATCAGACTATCGGGTCAATCAGTTGGCACACAGTTGTTTTGTTTTGACAAAAGAATGACAAATACATTTAGTTACATCTGATGTGTAAACAGTATGCAAATATTTGTTATTACCATAAAAAATATCAATAAAAAATGAGAATCCTTGCCACTCTATTCTATTGATTTAATCAATTTAATTTGTGGCCTGCCTGACCATGGATGTATATAGCCGGAAACCCAATCAAAACTGAAATCAATTATGCTTTGGGTGGTTCTGACTGCTTTATCATTTCCTGTGTTGAAGATGTACATGTATGCAAATTTGAAAGTTAGCTGCAGGCCTAACATGTCCATATATATACATGTACATGTATATATACTGGTAATATGTAACTAATATATTAGTCATAGTAAAAACAAAACAACTGTGTGCCAACTGATTGAGCTGATATCACAAACATATAGAAAGTGGAAGTGAAATAAGATACTAACTGGAAGTCTATCAATTGCTTTTCACATACCGGTATATTGTGAAATATGTTTGAGGATGACTACAAGGATTTATGTTTGATATAGAAAATTAGTAATCAAGGAAGAGATTTACATTTTATGTCGACACTTTTATCAATAAAAATATCACATTATTTATTGGAGACTTGGAGATAAAGGCTGCATGGGAAAATATGATTAAGATCAATCATGTATATGATACACGATACATGATATCATATTAGCCGGAATGCAACAATATTTACATAAAAAAATTAAACCACAGAAATTCCTTTCAGGATTCAGCATAAAGGATTTAATGTTACACCTGTATAAGGTCGGAGTCTGCTCACACAATGGCTATATGGATATTTACATATAATGCAGCCTTGCTCCCTTTTCCCAACTAAGTTATATGCTTTTCACTAACCTCAAATGTTTATGACACTGCACTTTTTTATTCTATTGGAGAAATATAATTATATATTGAGAACAAGCTGTATCCAGGATAAAATAGTAAAAGCAGAATGGGGAAATAAACATAAGCAGAGTTACTGGTTATTGTGGTGTTGCCTTTACGTGTATTAAAGTAACATTTCAGCTGGTATACCAAGAAGTACTGGGTAGATCAATCTAATATATCGGTATATTGTATTTCATATTACAGATTATTATGTACCATATGCTGCGTATGCATATAATTGGACAATATGTATCTTATTATATTAAAAGCGAGAAGGAAGATATGAAATGCAGTAATACATGTACATGACTGTACGTGTAATGTACCAGTAAACATGCCAACTAATTGCCAAGTACTAAGTACACTGTAGGTCTTAGTTGTACATTTTGGACCCATGTCTTTCTAAAAACAGTCAGAACTTTTGTGTTGACTTCATACAGTCATGTGAAGAGAAATGATTTGGACATGGAATTGCAAAGCACATGAATTATGCATCTGGTGCCTATTGTCAGAAACTTGATCATCTCCCTAACGAATGCATGTTATTGTTTAGTAGGGATGAGCAATCGGTTACCATAGCTACAGCTTACTGAGTCACGGCTTTTGATGAGCGACACCTACATGTATAGATCTGTATCATCAATCAACATTCGTCTCTGACCATCTCTTCCTACTTCCTTTCAACCTTTCTACTTCACGTTTCCATCTTATTTTTGATAAAATGAAAATAGTACCTTTTTCAGAGGGAGCATTAGGAAATATAGATAGCGAAAGTAATAAGGACTATAATGCTTGTACCACATGGTATAGATTACAATGTACACTGTAGCAATCAATATCGGCCTACCAGTCAATGTACAGTAATAGCCTTGATCTACACAATGGCTTCACAGACAGGATTCTGCCACAGATAATCAATAACAAGAGGAAATGAATTTGATTACTAACAGGTTTTTAATGTGAAAGTCAGTCTGAACATTATCTGTTAAACATCCAGACTTCAGTCTTCAGTTTAATGTTAATTGAATTTGAATCTCACAAATTATTTCATGTCACGTACTGTTATCAATGTTCTTGAAATGTATAGAGACTGACTAGTATGTGGAAGGATGAAAGTGTACATGCAAGTGTCAGTTGGTGTCTCAATAGCAAATGAGCAAATAAATAAAATGCAGTTGAAAGACACATTTTACCCATGGTTTGAATGATTAGAAAATAAAACTAGTTATTATGACAAAAAATGTAAACTATAAACCTTCTAACCCTAACCCTAACCCAAGTCCATTAATGTAAGATAAGTGGTACACACAAAAAGAAAGATGTATTAGCCCCAGTTAAGCTAATTAGATAATGGTGATGGAAGGTGAAAAAAACTTGGTATACCCCGTAATGTTAAGTTCAATCTTCAGAAGGATTTAAATGTAATTAAATGTCAAACAATATAATTGAATCATAGTACACCCTTGCTCCTATAAAATTAACTGCCATATAGTAATTGATATTATGCGAAACTCGAGCCAGCCAAATTTGAAATATATAAGGGTGTGAGCAGTTTCAGTCACCCACTATAGTACTATACAATATAATTAGTTACAGAACCGATGTGAAATACATGTAATATACATTCATATAGATAAATATATATATTATACATGTATATATATATACTTGTTTTTCTTCCTTTTTTCATTTTAAGAAATGCTGCCTCATAAGTAGATACAAACAATGTGAAGGAGGTTAGATTTTAGAAGAATGTAACTTCATCATATTTATTATCATTTTTATTATTATTATTATAGATTTTCCATCATGATAATCAATTTTTAAGCAGATGTTCATAAATACTGCACATGAATATGAGTGCTTACCAACTTTTGAAAAACTGCAAATATTGTCCTGTAATCAGGATTTGAATGAAAATGTAAATTTGCAAACAAAGTCTCAGATCCTCTAATCATATCTACATGTATGTAGGCATATAAAATGAAGTCGGTATACCATTGTAGGTACAAAGAACGATGTTTACAAATTGATGTACCGTACATGTACTCACTCACCACAATGTGCAAAGGTCTATCCCAATTGTAGGCCTCCAGCCTCTTCTCAAACAAAAGAACACTCCGTGAATCAATGCACTTTAACAAAAGATACCTTCATCAACTTACTGTATGTGTAGGACAATAGGACACCCTAATACTGTATCTGCCCTTCCAGAAGAAAATATTGTTACACAAAAGATCATACCAAAATGACTTGTATCCTCCAAAGTAAAGATACTGTAGATCTTGGTCTTCCAATTGTTTCAGAGAGGATGTATGAGTGTCAACCCAAGTGAAACTGATAGACTACCCGGTACTGATATTTATGACTACTGCTATCAGACTGTCAATACACTCTTGGGCTTTGTCCACACAAGCACACAGTGTAGTGCTACTATACGATAAGAAGAGTGACATAAAAGCGTGTGTAAACAGTGGCGTGTGTCATTGGCTGGCTCGTGCATACATAACTATAATGAGGAGTATATCAGTTAGCTTGTAGTTGTATAGCCACAGGGCACCAGCATGAAATACAAAAAGAATTTGTTTAAAAGATATCTAGAATGACCTTCTGGCTTCTGTGTGGGTATCAGGTTAACACATTTTGAAGGAAACCGGTTAAAATGGCCATGGATGGGAGTCATGTGACAATTAATGTAGCAATTCAACTGGTGTTTTGTCTTTTCTAAACTCTGAAACTCTTCATGAAAGCTTAACTAATATTTCAATGATTTTGTACTTGTAAATAATAGGTCTATGCTCTTTTAAAAAGAAGTTTAGAATAATGGTTTTATTCCTTCAAAGTGAATTAAATGAATGATATTATCACTTCCACCTATAAAGCTACATTGTAAATTGCCCATTTCTCCCATTAATTTGCTAAAGATTACAACCCATACAAAACAAATTGTCTTTATAAAGCTGCATGTAAATGAGGGGATCTGTTTAGGCCAGGGGGGCAATATGAAGCTCATGAGCGCCGCGGTACACTCCAGAATGCAACAACCCAACTCATGCTTTACTCACTCACATTGTTAATGTTTCCCACAGAACCATACATCTGAAGCAGCAAAACTTGATATGACAACCTCAAATGCACTTTCTGACACACCTTCTTTGTGAAGAAAAGAAACGCAGGAGGACAATTAACTGCTGGATGTGAAAGTGAACTCTGATTTACAGACTGAAATAATCATAGAATAGAATGAGAATCGACAACAACATCCAAGGCAAAATCCCTCTGGCCCTCAAACACCGACACATTGTACTCTACCTGAGTCAACAATCACCCAAGCCGATGGAGCAACGCTTTATTTTTTTCTCCCGGTCAAACTCTATTCCATGGAACTTCAATAGACCAGTTCACGCTTAGCACATGTCCCAAATGACCCCAAATATCCACAGATCTTCGATACATGAAGAGGTCCCACTTTTTAGATTTTGAAATAATCACTCCTACAGCGATGCAGGTGCTACATAAATAGCCTCTGTTTCCCCTTTTCAAAGAATACTTCCACCTGTGTATGATAATCATGGAGTGCACTGCTTGTGCATTAATGAATGATGATTACCGGTACATAACTTTCATGAGCACGTATCCAGTATTTCGTCTCTGTGTATTTCACAATTTGGTCTGCAATGACCTTTATCTGCTCATGCTCAGACTGCAACTATGAACTGGCTTATTGCCAGCTAAACTGAACTTTACATGAAAGGGACATGAATTATGAAAATCATTAATCTCTGCACCTAGCACCTACACGTACCTGTACACATGACAAACATTTTGTTGAATCAATGAAATCATGAGTAATCATATATCAGAACTGATTCTAATCCTACTGTACTTTGAAGAAAGGCCGGGTTCACCCTCTCAAACATAACCGCAAATGTCTTGTCCTCAACTTACAGTTAGCCAAAAAAAAATAGGGATCAACAATAATTCAATGGAGTGTGCTACCAAGTTGTTCTCCCTATCACACTCCTATCAACTCATAATCATAGCCACAGAGAACAAAAGAGAACAATAAACATTTATACAGCAGTAATTGCTTTGCACTGCGGAGTATACATGTTGTAAGATCTGTTGAATCACTGACATGTTATTTGATCATATCCTGCTTCTTGTGAGACGGGGGGTCGGGGGATCACCTTCTTTGCCAATTCTTGGAGAAGGGACAAGATGTGGCCTGTGGTGGCAAACCTAGAAGACCTAAAAAGCCCATATACACTTTAGGTCCAAATTAAATCATATGTAAAGTTCTCTGTATTACATCTTAGTCATCATTATGAACAAACAAATCCGTACATTGATATGTATGATGAATTTATGTAGGAGTATCTTTGTGACAGATCACTTATTCTGAGAAATAATATGACATTGTCTTTTGAGAGCCAGAACAGCATTGACTCACATTATTTTGCATAGAGTTAAACTTAATACCTTTCTGGCTCTCAACAGACAATATGATCTGAGAATATGTATCTTCTGCACACCAATCCATTTTTTAAGGATATTTCCTGCAGTTGTGCATACATGTACAATGTACATCAAACCCCTGAATCTGATTCCAATGTTACAGACACAATTATACGCATGAGAGAGCAACCAATCAACAAGATTGTGTATGTAATATCGCACCTTCATGTACAGGCACAGAAGTTGTAGGTTTCCTGCCAAACTTCCTTCAAACTGATCATTCAACAATGGTGTAGTAAAAGTCCTCGAACTAAAATCTACCTCCGAAAACAAGCAACTTTTTTAATACAACAGGTCATATAGCGCATTTCCCCATGCAATGTTAAAGACTTATAATACAAGTAGCCTACCCAAAGTTAGGAATTACAGACTATAGTCTTTACAGGGACTTACACATGTACTAACAAAAAATAGAGGTCTAAAGAGGAGATTTATCATTTACATACACGTTGTACTTGGTCTTTAAAACCAACACAGGTACAATCAAACTTCTACAAGATAGCATGAAACAATCAATAAACGTGTACTTCATGAAAAGGCAAGCACTAAATGAGTCATATCTAAATTCTGATAAAATAAGTGTGCATGCAAACATGTCTGCCTTGCCCAAACACTCTGTACAATAGTTTCGAAAAGTTCAGTCCAGGAAGTTGCTCTGAATAAAAGAATACCACCCTAGGCTGTACACTTGGCAATCAAAAGGGTTAGTAAGAACTCTTTTCCCTCACTTTGATCAATATGCCTGGTACATAATTTGATCATGAAACTTTATGAAAGCCATACGTCATTTTACCTTTCAGATTTGGCAACTGTTCCCACAATACATTGACGTCAGTACTTTCATTCAATTATGTAAACCAAAGAGGGAATTTCACAAAAGTGATGTTTTTAAGAATTTTGATGAGATACATGTACAATCAAAAGTCTACTTCACAAATGTTAAACATTTGCCTTTTCAAAAACATTCAATTTATGCAACACCTCTTTACATGACAGTAGTTGCTTCTATTATTTACAGTGTACAGTACATGTAGGTCAATTACCCACAAATGTTGTTTGATAATAATAATAATATGGATATTTATATAGCGCCGGTATCCGCCAGGCTCTGACGCTCATGGCGCTGTACATATTACTATCACAAACATATAATATTCTTAACTAAAATAAAGTAAACTAAAACAACACAAATTAATACGCTACATTGACATGATTTAATAGCACTGTTTAGAAAGAGATGGGTTTTTAGAGCAACTTTGAAGTCATGGAGGGTAGTTGACCTAAAGAGTACATCATGCATCATATATACATGTATTACCGGTACTGTTTCTCTAATCCTTAACATAATGACTGGTACTTCACATTATCATCATGCTAACTTTGTTTTGACGCAGAAACGTGTTGTATTCAGGGACATGACCAAGGAAACAATGTACACATGTACATGTATGTATTCACAATTATGGTAGGTTTCTCATTACAGACGCTGCCACATCATGATATACAGATTCTAAAGTTGTTCTCATTGGATTACAGAGTATCAGTTTCAGGTTTTTCATGTGTAGGATTTGGACTACAGTTATGCTAAATGAATGTATACAATCAAGTTTTCCACCTGGTCATGGTCTCTGAACCTCAATGTCCTACATTAACTTGAGGTTAATATCAACCCTAACTCTGTCAAGAGAAAAGAGATTTTATGACTTACAATAAGTGATTGATTTGGACAAATCATAACTCATGCATACACTGTACATGTACATGTATAATACATGGCCAAGATCTCAACTACTACACTGGTATCCATTCATCAAATTCAAGGCATCACATCAAGCAGTGATTCTTCCACTCTCCTCACAGACGTTCAACTAGTTTCAATAGATAGAGATAGTAGGTGTATACCAATCACACATCAACAATCAGCCTCCTACTTGGAACCTCTATGAAACCTGTCACAAGTGATTTGCAGCTCCACATCTCAACATCCATTACCAAATACAACACCATAGGGGCACTGTTTCAGCGGGACCTTTCCTCACCCTTCCAGTTTCTCCTCTTCATTCCAAGTGGACTCCAATCAATTCTTAAACCAATCCCAATGAACGGGCACTTTCAAAAGAAAAACTCTATCCCAAGGCTTGTTTCCTTGCAACGTGACCGCAGTTTTTCTCTTCACTTCAAATTCATATTTCATACAGATTTGTTTCTTTTCAACTATTTATCTACATCTATACATCTCAATTCTAAACTTAATCCACATAAATAGGTGCTTTCACAAAAAAAAAAAAGTCTTTTTTCCTTGCAGTTCAAACAGAGTAATTTCTCCTGGACCTTTTCTTGCCCCTCTGCTGTCTCCTCTGCACTTAGCAAAGATAAAATGTTTCTTGTCCACTCCTCATGTTCATCTTAATCCTACAAGTACTGGTACAATTAATTTGATTCATCAGGTAATTTCATGAGGAAAAAAAAGTACCGGTAAGCTTTATTCAAGAGGTTGTTTCCTGAGGAAGTACAAATTTCCTATTGATCTACAAACTGTAGTAGTGTAGTCTACTATGAAACAAAATTCACAGCTCTATCTGTAGAACTGCACTTGGGCCCTATTTCAGTATTTGTGATATCCATGGTATGCGCCTGCTTCCTGTAGGACCTTGGCACAAACAATTGGGTCAACCAAATACATGAACCGGTATATATTCATTTACTCCGTTCATCATTAAAGATCAATTTCAACGCCAATTTGGAAATCGACCAAGCAATCACTTTCGGAGAAGGGGAGATAGCTCAATGGTAGAGTGGTGGTCTCGTAACTTGGAAGACCCACGGGTCCAAAACCAAGT